ATAATACTGGTCAAGATGTGTCCAGTTCAAATATCACCTGTGCTCACCCTAACTAGTGTTCCCCTCTTCCATCGGCTGATCTCTGCTCTGTTGTTGTGTTTGGTCCACAGATATCTCAGTGCCTGCAAACCTGGTGTGTGGACTTCACGACATCTGAGCGTGTGCTGACGTGATGATTTTAGCCAGAGGATTTTATTTTCATACAGTACGGTGGTGTCTGCATATATACGTGCTCTTCTGATTCAGGGTAAGCAGAAATCAGACAGAACTTGAGAAATCGAGACGTGATGTTTTCATTCTGCTCATTGTTTAATCCCGTCTACATGTTTGTTTGTTTGTTTGTTTACAAATATTTTTGGGACATAATCTGTGTGCTGTATCATATAACACAGGCTTTTTTTGTTGACCAGTGCAGAAATACTATTGGTAATCATTTACAATAGCACATCAAATGCTCATCTAATGGGATGTTTTGTAAGAAATCTCTAATATATAGATCTATTTAATTTGTTTTTAATAAATGTTTATTAAAACACCACTGCGTCCTGCAGGTTTTCTGCTCTTTTTGTCGCTCACGCACACATTCAGAGCTGTTTTTCCAGCGATGCCTTCACCATCAGGACAGACGAGTAAAACCAGATGGTTTGCAAGTGAAATAAGCAGAAGTTTCAGACTGAGTGTGTGCTTTGCATGAGTGTTTATGTGCTGATGAGTCTCGCTCTGATTTGGCAGGTCATTACACTGTCTGAGAGTCTGATCTGTCTGCTGCTTTTACCCCCCAAAAAAGGAAAATTAATAACTAAACATATAAATAGCGGATGGCAGTTTGGCTTAATCTTGAATCCTCTCAGTCTAAATACCCTTTAACCAGTTAAACTCCTCTGCGTCATCGACTTTTGCTGTAAGATTTAAAGGGCTAGCATTGCACCAGATCCCCGTCTGTAAAAATAAAACATCCGTCTTTTCTCGCTCCTCCTCAATTCTAGGATCATGTGACAGGGCAACTCTGTGGCTAGCACTGCTGCCTTACAGCAAGAAGGTCGCTGGTTCAAGTCCCGGGTCAGTTGACGTTTCTCTGTGGAGTTTGCATGTTCTCCTCATGGTTTCTCCGGGTACTTCGGTTTCCTCCCACAGTCTTAAGACTTGTGACACAAGTGAATTAAATAAAAATAACATTACAAGCACTTAATTCTGAGCTTCTCTAAGTGTGTATGCACTGGTGCGGTGTGCGGTCTATTCCTATAGAGCCGTCTTATTAATCCAGAACTACCTGATCTCGTATCCCTCTCAATGCTCATTGACCAGGCGGGAGCTTTGGGCTCATCTATCTCCGAGCTCAGGGTTCTCTCCATACCTGCCAACACTCCTGTTTTTGCCGGGAGTCTCCCATATGTCAGACCCACCTCCCTCCCATCTCCCATATTGTTCTGTCCCCCCTCAGCTTTTTGGTACAGTCCTGCTAGTTGTTTGGTTCAGTCCCCATGCGCACCTAACCCAACACACAACCATCTTCATACCTGCTTCTCGCTCTTTACTTCATGCTTGGAAAAAATCTCCCAGATTTTATGATCCGAATGTTGGCAGGTATGGTTCTCTCCCAGGACAGCATCCCGAACCTGCTAACAACTGTGAATTCCTAAAAAAGGCCATAGTGTGAATGAGTGTGTATGGGTGTTTCCCAGTACTGGGTTTCAGCTGGAAGAGCATCCGCTGCATAAAACATGCTGGAATAGTTGGCGGTTCATTCCACTGTGGCAACCCCTGATGACCCCTTGACTAGGCTGAAGGAAAATGAATGAATGTTTGAAAAACGTACAATTGTGCAGCTCTGATCTCAGAACAGCTCAGTGAGATGTAAACTCTCAAAAACTATTTAGAAATTGTTGGATTTGTTTTATTAATAACAATATAATAAAAAATTATTTAAAAAAAACAGCTGATATAAAGTCACAGTTGTAATTATTGCAAGATAAACAGTAACAGTTTTGCTTTTTTTCTGCATTGTTTTCCAGAATTAAATTATTTAAATAAGTTATTAAAATATAAATAAATTATTAAATAATTCTATAAGGTATAGCTTGAAACTGTGAAATATGAAGTCATGAGACTCATTCACAATTAACGTAATTAATTTTCAGTTGCAAAAGTTTAATTTGAATTTTTTTCTGGTGAAAAGAAATGTGGAAAAGCATGTGAGTTTAAACAATTGTACGATAAAAAAGTTGCAAATACACTTACACACACACACACACACACACACACACTTTTAGTTATATGTTTATTTATTTATTTATTTAATCTTTGACAAAAAAATACAAAAAGCTTTCCTGAAAACACAAGTTTATGTATATGAGTTATGAGTGGGTGTGGCTCCAAACCAGTTCAGCCAATCGTGTATGTGTGGGCGGGGCTTCTGTTAGACAGTCAGGAGTGTGTTTGAGCTCAGTTTGACAGCAGTTGTGTTGTGATTCTTCACCTGTAAAGACAAACACTGATCTCAGAACAGAACAGATGCGCTTCAGCAGGACAAAACCAGCCATTATTGAGCAGATTAAAGAGAAACACTGAGCTGATGCTCTCTGCAGGTCACTGTTTATATCTGCACAATAGCGGCTCGCTGCTCGTCTGTCCTCCATCTGCTCTGCTTTTGTGTGTGTGTGTGTGTGTGTGTGTGTGTGTGTGTGTGTGTGTGTGTGTGTGTGTGTGTGTGTGTGTGTGTGTGTGTGTGTGACACTGAACTTCATTCACACGGTCAGTAGATTTATGACTGATCAGATCCTCACACTGAACTCTTGAAACTACTAGTTTGGTTCTGTTGTTGGTTTGTTTGTTTATTTATATGTTTATTTTTATTGTTTGCTTATTTTGTGCTTATAGTTTATTTCACTTCCAGAACTAAATTTTACAGCTGATTTACTCACTGCTTTGTCATCTACAATGTTCCTTTCTTTATTTTTTTTATTCTTAAAGTACTTTTACAACGAATTAATGAACAGTGTTGGGGAAAGTATACCTAACCGATCTAACAAATACACACACACACAAATAATACAACACATATTTTTTGTTGTTTTAAACTCACCGGCCACTTTATTAGGTACACCTGACTAGTACCAGGTTGGACCCCTTTTGCCTTCTGAACCACCTTAATCCTTCATGGAACAGATTCAACAAGCTGCTGGAAATATTCCTCAGAGATTTTGCTCCATATTGTCATGATAGCATCACACAGTTGCTGCAGATTTGTCGGCTGCACATCCATGATGCCAATCTCCCGTTCCACCACATCCCAAAGCTGCTCTATTGGATTGAGCTCTGGTGACTGTGGAGGCCATTTGAGTACAGTGAACTCATCGTCATGTTCAAGACACCAGTCTGAGATGATTGAGCTTTATGACATGCTGCGTTATCCTGCTGGAAGTAGCCATCAGAAGATGGAGACACTGTGCTCATAAAGGGATGGACATGGTCAGCAGCAATACTCAGGTAGGCTGTGGCGTTGATGCTCAATTGGTACTAATGGACCCAAAGAAAATCTCCCCCACACCATTACACCACCACCCCCAGCCTGAACCGCTGATACAAGGCAGGATGATCCATGCTTTCATGTTGTTGAGGCCAAATTGTGAATCGAGCATCTGAATGTGTCAGCAGAAAGGGAGACTCATCAGAGCAGCAACGTTTCTCCAATCTTCTATTGTCCAGTTTTGGTGAGTCTGTGTGAATTGTAGCCTCAGTTTCCTGTTCTTAGCTGACAGGAGCGGCAGCCGGTGTGCTCTTCTGCTGCTGTAGCCCATCCGCCTCAAGGTTGGACGTGTTGTGTGTTCAGAGATGCTCTTCTGCAGAGCTCGGTTGTAGCGAGTGCTTATTTGAGTTACTGTTGCCTTTCTATCAGCTGGAACCAGTCTGGCCATTCTCCTCTGACCTCATCAACAAGGCATTTGCGCCCACAGAACTGACGCTCACTGGATATTTCCTCTTTGTCGGAGCATTCTCTGTAAACCCTAGAGATAGTTGTGCGTGAAAATCCCAGTAGATCAGCAGTTTCTGAAATACTCAGAGCAGCCCGTCTGGCAGCAACAACCATGCCACGATCAAAGTCTCTTAAATCCCGTTTCTTCCCCATTCTGATGCTCACTTTGAACTGCAGCAGATCAGCTTCACCATGTCTACATGCCTAAATGAGTTGAGCTGCTGCCATGTGATTGGCTGATTAGAAATCTGCGTTAAGGAGCAGGTAATATCTGGACCAAATACAGCTCATTTGGCAGTAAGTATTTGTAAACTGCACTGTAGAAATAACCATAAACATTAATATTTTAATAAATGTATGTTTTTTTTATATAATACACTGTTTAACATATAAAACTTGTTATAAAAAAGATGTATTAAACAAAAAAAATACCTAAAAGTAATAATAATTCATTTGAAAGACTGAATTCATTTAAAATTAAATGATAGTAAAAACATAAACACTTGAGAAACATTGAAAAAATCTCATTATAATATATGTATTCAATATATAGACTAATTATAATTATATATATATATATATTACACTCTAAAAATGCTTGGTTTATTGTAAATAGTAAGTTAAAGTGTTCAGTTAAATGTAGAATAAACTCTAAACCAAACGGATGGGTTTGTCCATAGTTGACCCCGCATTGGTTTACAACAGCCCATCCTTTTTATTGAGTCTATTTATTTCCAGCTATAAATGTGACTTATGCCTACGTGTTTATTTATTTCTCATGCTGTGTAATAAACATATATTTAGACAAACGTTATATTTAGCTAACCTATATCCCCGTTGTTGTGAGGTCATGAATGTGTCAGTCTGTAGTTTTTCACCTGTTGACGGTCACATTGAGCGGGGCTGCGTCTCAAACCATACTGAGGACCCTAAATAGAGCGCGCGCTTGAGTATCAGCTGACTCCACAGGCCCCGCCCACTCGCGCACTACGCAGGGGGCGTGGTGAGTATTGAAACACAGCCTCTTCTCTCGCAGTTTCTCTCTCTGTTTCAGTCAAACGGCTGAGGGAAAGTGTGTGTTTGTTGTTTCGCTGGTTTCCTCAAACCTGTTTATCAGCCAAACCCGCAGTCGTGTGTGTTTTTCTGCCGTGTTTTCACGCTCCGGGACAGTTGGCGGATTTTAAACGGAAGTCCATCTCAGGTATGATCGCTTCATCAGAATTTATAGATAAGAGTGAAACTGACGCGCGAAAAATCTGACGGTTTGATGAAATATTCAGGGTTTTCGGTGAATTATTGAGATAAAAAATCAGCGAGAGCTCTCTAAAATAACGTATTAAATTATATTAATTATAATTTAAGTAGTGTTTGAGTTAATCTGTCGAATTTACCTCAGAAAAACTTTCAAATAAACGCTTAATTTTTTAATTTCTCACTTATGTGTTGGATTGTTATAGTGTTTTACGTCGTTATGACTGTTTACATTTCAAGTAAAACATCACGGGTTGATTAAATACACATACTAAATGTAAATGTCAAGCTGTCATGGTTAGTGATTAATTGTATTATTTGTTTACGTTAGAATTATGTAGATTTTATAGTGTCCTTATTGAAGTTATCTATCCATATTTATTATGTTTTTTATTTCAGTGGTTTTATGGGAAGAATAAGAGTTAACTTGATTTACATAACAAAAGTTTAGACAACAGCAGTGTACAAACATATTGACGTAAATACAGGTTCCAAAATTATAATAAAAATATCTTGAATAATATAAAAATAATGATAATAACTAAATTAATGTTAATAATTAATTCATTCATTTCTTTTCGGTTTAGTCCCTTTATTAATCCGGGGTCGCCACAGCAGAATGAACCGCCAACTCATCTAGTATGTTTTTGTACACAGCGGATGCCCTTCCAGCCGCAACACATCTCTGGAAAACATCCACACACACTCATTCACACTCATACACTAGGGACAATTTAGCCTACCCAATTCACCTGTACCGCATGTGTTTGGACTGTGGGGGAAACCGGAGCACCCAGGCGAATGCAGGGAGAACATGCAAACTCCACACAGAAACGTCAACTGATCCGGTCGAGACTCGAACCAGCGACCTTCTTCCTGTGAGGCGACAGCACTACCTACTGTGCAACTGCAATGCTGTTAATAATGTTAAAATAACAAAAAATTAAGAATATGTTTAAGTAAATAGTAAACACATCTATATATAACGTAATTATATTCAATGTAACTAATTTTCCTTCAGCTTAGTCTCTTTATTAATCTGGGGTCGCCAACTTATCCAGCATATGTTTCACGCAGCGGATACCCTTCTAGCTGCAACCTATTACTGGGAAACACCCACACATATACACTGTGGGCAGTTTAGCTAATTCAGTTCCCCTATTGCGCATGTGTTTGGACTGTGGGGGAAACCGGAGCACCCAGAGGAAACCCATGCCAACATGGGAAGAACATGCAAACTCCACACAGAAACACCAAATGACCCAGCCAAGGATCAAACCAGCAACCCTCTTGCTGTGAAGTGACAGCTCTACCCACTGTGCCACCGTGCCGCCTAGATGTAATTATATTATCTAAAAATATGTGACTGTTATAATATATAACATAATATAATGTATAAACATAATATATACAATTTAAAACATAATAAAAGTCTTCCTAATAATATTTCAATAATCATAAGTGAATATTAATAACATATGAATAATTAATCATTTGTTTATTATAATTTATTAACCAAGTAAAAAAATCTATCAAATAAGCAAGTATAATTAAGTAAATACATTTTTAAAATATTTTTGTGTAGAATTTCTTATGTATTAAAAGTAAAATTATTAAATATAAGTAAATAAAAAATTACAAAGCACGTCATTACAGTACTAGAGTGCATAAATATTAAACATAACAATAATAACAGCCTCCTTAATAATATCTCAATAGCAATACATTTATAATAATAACTCATATTAATAAGTAATTATTTGTTTATTATTTACTTATTATATTAAAGTTAAAAGCTGTTGAATAAAATTTATCATTCATTCATTCATTTTCTTTCCGGCTTAGTCCCTTTATTAATCTGTTGCCACAGCGGAATGAACCGCCAACTTATCCAGCACATGTTTTACACAACGGATGTCCTTACAGCTGCAACCCATCCCTGAGAAATGGATACAATTAATATTTAAGTAAATTATTTAAAACAATTGACCTGCTTTTAGTTATGATATAATATAAAACGCTATTAGAAAAGGCAAATTTAAGTAAATTATTTAAAATAATTACAGTACAGTATAACAACAATCGCTAAATATATTCAGATATTGTACATTTATTTATGACAATATTTCAGATTTTCTTTTGTACACAAAAATGTTCAAACTGACTCACAGTATCAGCATCTCTAACACTCTATAATGGGATGTTTTTGGTTTGTGATGAACAACAGTTACGCTGTTAGGTTTGTTGGTGGTTGATTCTGTACAGGTGAGACACACACATACACATATTTACAAGAATAACAAACATTGCATCATTTCAGTTCTGTAAACTATATATATATATATATATATATATATATATAGTTTTAAAATAGTACAAATTCACCTCTTAAATTCATTGTGTTATTTGGATTTTTCTTTTTTTTTTGCTGGCAAGATTTTGATTAAAATTGCTTTTAATTAAATGTTGTTTTCTGTAGTTGATAAAATTAATTTGTTTTACAGTTCTTTTACATTCATCAGCATCAGAAAAAGTGGTATAAAATAAATAAATGATATAATAAATAACTATATTAATATTACAATACAATAATCATTTTATTATGACAAAGCAAAGAATAATAAAATGTAATTTAATTAATTAAAAATATCAAAGTACACCAAATGCAATGATTAAAAGTAATTAAATATATTTCTAAAATTATTTAAGTTCAAAATACATAAAGTTGCTGTAATGAATAAAAACGTACATAATATTTATCACACATTTGATTAGAATATTTTATAATAAGACATCAGACATTGTCGTAATTAATAACAACATTAACAACATTAAAGTAATTAATATAAAAGATAACATTAACATATTTACTTAAAATATTTAAATAAATATTATTAACAATTAAAATAAACAAATAATAAATAACAATACTGTAATTTACAGTCATGAAAACAATATACTATGCATTTCCTCATTGTAATATTTTACAGTAAAAACTGGATCTTTAATATAACATTGGATCATGAAAATGAAAAATTTGTAAAAAAAAAAAAAAAAAATTATATATATATATATATATAGTTGAAGTCAGAATTATTAGCCCCCTTTTGATTTTCACAGAGCAATGAAATTTTCACAGTGTGTCTGATAATATTTTTTTCTTCTGGAGAAAGTCTTATTTGTTTTATTTCGGCTAGAATAAAAGCAGTTTTTAATTTTTTTAAAAACATTTTTGGGACAAAATTATTAGCCTCTTTAAGCTCATTTTTTCCCCGATATTCTACAGAACAAACCATCATTATACAATAACTTGTCTAATTACCCTAACCTGCCTAGTTAACCTTATTAACCTAGTGAAGCCTTTTAATTTCACTTTAAGCTGTATAGAAATGTCTTGAAGAATATCTAATAATACTATTATATTATTACTATTATTTCAAATGATTCAATATTTTTGTCTGTTTGCATACCCTGTTATTTTTGTGTTTTACCATGTATATTTTTTAAAGTAGTTGTGATTTATTTGCCTAACCCCCCTGGTGTTTAGTGCGTAAATGTGAACGTGTCCTCTGGGTTTACATTGAACTGGTTTTCCAGGGTTTGTCAGTGATTTAGTGGCAGAGCTGTAGTGTTCATGAGGAATGTGAGTGCACTCATTAGTGAGCGAGTGTGAACACTGGTTAGTGCTGATGATCAGGGCGCGGGTGCTGTTATATAACGGATGTTTATGGCTCATGTTATCTCTCCGCCACTCCTCTGCTATTATTCCCTCATTACTGACGCTCCTTTCTCCACATAATAGCACTGAGTCACATCTGGACTTCAGACCTCAGATCAGTGCTGTGTTCAGACTCACTGCTGTCACGTGTTTTGTCATCATGGTTAGTCCAGTAAAGCGCTTTGAACTGTGCAGTTTTGTTTGATGGGTGTCATTATTTCAACTGACAGCGTGTAACAAAGGCTCCACCCCTTTTTCTAAAACTATCCAATAGGGTTTAGTTGTTTAAATATATGCTGCGTTACACTTAGCATACTAATACTACATCCTAAAAGTATGTACTTTTTTGTGTGAAGTACTTTTGAGCTTTGGGACATACTCCTTGTCATTAACAGAGTGTTCTGTTGCTTAGTTATGAGACCTGTCAATCATCTCCTCACATCATCCATATTTATTTAATATCTAATTTAATCTACATTATTGGAGAAGCCGCAGCAGGTTAACCTGAAATTCGCGAGTCTTTCATGCAGAGAAATATCAGGTGTTTGGATAATTCTGCATTCAGAAGTTAATGTCCAAACACGTCTTTATAGAAGCTCAGTGTTGTTGTAGATGAAATATAACATACAAAAGATGATTTCAATATTTTCCAGTCGGCCAGATTTTAAATAATAGCCATTCAAACATCTTTACTGAAACATCTCTACTTAGTTGTCAGCCATGTTGGTAGTTTGTTTAGACATTTTACCTGAATTTGTAGTTCTAATCTAATTCACATCCAATATGCAATGTATTGTGGACAATACTAATATTTATTTATTTATATTTGTTTTCCTACTATTATTAAAGGTGCAGTATGTAAGTTTGACACCCAGTGGTTGAACTAGGTATTGCACTACTGGATCAAAATAAATGCAAGCGCGGGTTGCCAGATTGACCAACAGGAGCGAGTGATTTAAACTGTTCTAAATAAAAGCAACAGCTCCCGATAGAAGGAATATTTTACATAATAAAATGAGTCTTTGTCCTAACCAACACCTTAAACTGATATATTAGAAACGGCGTCTATTTCTCACAGCTGAACAACAGAAAACTGACAATGATCAGCTCAGGTACAGCTCATGTGCTTTATTCAGTGCTAATGCTTTGTGAGTCTGAATGTCATTTTACATGACATTTATTGCCACACTACTAAAAGCAGCAGCAGATAGACAGTGGTGTAGCGCAAAATG